AATTTCTAACTTGCGCTAAAAAGACGTGCTACGCACGTCGAGATGTTTTTGTCTCAAACTGCGAGCGACGTGAACACCACGTCGATAAGCATTTATCGCAAAAATGAAAATAACATGGTGCACACGTCGCCTAACAACGAGATTGTTTATTTCTCGAGTTACAGCTCTGGATTGCACTCGCAGATGCGGAGCGGCCTAAATGAGACAGACACTTTACCACTTGCTATATTGTAGCGCACGGCACCGCAACCGTGAAGTTTAGTCTTAGAGCAAGTAGTTAAACTCTAAATTAAAAGAAAATATTTTTTGGTGCAAGTAAATTAATTCATAGGTTAGTAATTTTCAGGGGGGGGGGAACTACGAAAATCCGTTTTTAAAATTATTGCGAAAAATCCAAGAAGAAACGTCCTTTGATAAAACTTTTTGTCAAAGAACGTTTCTTCTTAACACGTTTCTCAATTTCCGGTACACATCGCGGAGAGGGAAATTCTGGCCGCCAGGTTCCGTCGCCAAATCCCTTGGCAAATTTTCCCTCCGCATTCTAGCGGCGTAATAGCATTTTACTTGTATGGAAAATTTTCTTCTTTACATAGACCAAAGAATTAGAGATTCTTTGCATAGACGTTTTTTGGTTAAAATAATCTCCATGTATAGATTTGGCGACATGATGATGCGCAGTAAACGGGTCACTTTGGTCTTGGCGACAATTTTCAAAATCGTGCCAAAGCCTTACCGTATACTACAATTTTACCGCAAAATCTTTTTAAACTTTTCTCTTTAATAAATACCTTGCCATTTGCAGTAAAATAAAAAATAGTAATCTGTCATCTAGGCTAACCATGTAATATAACTATATTCGCTAAAATATCGTTGATTATTCTAATTCAATTTTTAAGTAATTATCTTTATTTTTATGTTATTCGTATAATTTAATGATGCTTCTTCCCTCTAAATTTATTAATTATTAGTAAATAATATTTCTAAATTTCAGGAAATTTTCTCTGGCATAATCTTGAAATTAATTCTAGCAGTATGATGACATACCATCACGAAATTTAATGCACATATTTTTTTCTTATGTATGCTGCGAACTAAATATAAAATACCTCAATTTATTAAAATAGATTTCTTTGTTTCGTTTAGCTGCAGAATGTCTGCAAAAAAAGTCTTATTTTATTCCAGATTGGGAAGATTCTAATCTCAATCTTCAATGGAGGAAACAAGAACTATTATAATTATATTTGTGTTTTCAAGTGTTAAGGTGCTTTTTAAGAACATACCTCACACAAATTAAATTTACCTAAAATCTAACCTAACTATTTAGCATTGCGTTGTGATTTATAAGGACCGGATTAGCCTCGTGTTGAACTGGTGATGATCATGAGTAATAATTAAATAAAACATACATTTGTTATCCAATGTATATATCTTAAATTTTATTAAGTTTCTTAAGTGGAAAAGTAAACAAAATTATCAAACAAAGTATACCAAGAATAATTAAGAATAAATGTCCTCTGGGATTTATTGAATAATTAAGTGAATTTGCTACACAATACAAGTAATACCATAATTTACCTCTTAGCGTAGCCAACGTACATTACGCGGATAGACTGGAATTTTCTTGAAACGCGCCTGGAAAACCTGGAAAAGTCAGGGAATTTCATTCTCCTGTTTGAGTGGCAACCCTGTTAAAACAACTATAAAACACAATAAACATTAGTATCATTTGTAATTTTTTTAAAAAAGGGGTCAAAACAAACCTTTGCTAATTTTTCTGGCACTAGTTCTTCTTCCTTAACCCCATCAGCTTCTCCATCCTGCTGCTGGCGAGACTTTATATGTTGCTCTCGCTTCTCTTGAGCTGCTGTCTGCTTTTCCTTTTCAAGCTCAGCACGCTTCCTTGCCTTACGTTGTTTATTGCGGTATTTCTTTAATTCTGCAGGAGCCATATTAGCTGGAAAAGAAAAATCTTCATAATCTGGATATCAGTGTTAAGTAGTGTTCACATTCATACTCTTTCATTTACAGAAAAAGATAAATCTTTACTAAATTTAATTTCTGAGTTAAAAACATAACCATTAAAAAAAAAAAAAAATATATTTCTGCATTAATTTATTCTTTAAAACCGAACACGTCACTATGAAAACAAATCATTGCTGAATAATATGAACAGACACAGTGGACTGTAAAATTTCTGTTTTGAAAACACACTATAACTAGAAGATAACTTCCAAGTACAGTCAAAAGTCGTTAATTCGGACACCCATAATCCAGAATGATCTATAATCCGGACCTCAAAGCTACAAACTTTCTGCGCATGCGTCGCGTTCACGCATGCGCACAGGCGTTTAAGAGTGCGTGTAATACCTTTACGTCTGCGAATATGTTTGTGCGCATGCGCGTTTAATGTGTAATTTTGTGTTATCAACACTATAAATCTTTTTTGGGGGGGTGGAGGCTTTCGAAATTTGTTTCTAAACATAACTAAAGTAATAGTTAGAATCATAAAATCTTCTAGCATGCTCCAGTATAAATCTTTGTCTGGTAAATTATAATATCCACCAAATAAGAGTAATCCAAGTAATAATAATAATAATAATAATAATAAATATTACCTTTTACCTTCCGCCAACATCTAGACTTTCAGCTCTTTGTTCTGTCATTTTTGCCAGATGGATAAAATAGTCTGTTGGTAAAAATTTGAATAGGCGATAAAGTAACTATCTAAGAGAAAATTTGTCAAAATTTTTCAATAGCTGCAGTTCCAGTATTTTTCTATGAAGCTGCAAGTTTGCCCCAGCAATAATTGATATTTTCTTCTTTAGAAGGCAAACATTTTTACTTTTTCGCTTTCAGAGTTAAAAGAATGTCAAGATCATTTATGTATCTGATGAAATCCTTATCAGAAATAGTAGTGAAAACGTCTGTTTGTCTTATTAATTTAGAAGTCAAACAACAAAAATCAGCATTGCAAATTTTCTGTTTGTCTGCTGACATCTGCAGACATAATACATTTGAAAGTATTCTTATTTATATCTTTTTCATCAGTTATGAATCCATATTTATGAGCTGAAAAATGTCAGATATCAACAGCAGTTTCTTTAAAATTCTCTGATTAAGTCTGAAAAAAAAAATAACCTCTAAGCCTCTTCTTCTACAGCTAAAATGTGCTTTGGATACATCATGTCTGCCATAGAAGAGTTCTGTATCACAAAATAAAGTGACAGTGTATTTTGTGATACAGAAATTAAAAATATTCTTGAAATAAAACTAGAGATGTCCACCTCCAGCAATAAACATTCTGCATCCCATTTGATGCCCACCCCTCAAAAGGGTGTAGACACTGGAAAGATTTAAACAAGCACTTTTTCCATCTTATACTGCTCCGCATTCAACAGCAACAGAAATTTTAAATGTCATTTTTCTAGAATTTCAGCAAAGTAATATGATTTAAAATGCCATGTATTTTATGCTATGAAAGATGGCAGTGTTCCCATTTGGGAGCAAGCAAATTTGTTTCCTTTATATCAAGCACTTTTTTGGTCAGAATTTGTTTATTTTTTCATTAAAACAAACCTTGTTAATATTATTGATTATTCATTTTTAAATTTTGATTTATTTTCCTATTTTGGGGAAACTTTTAAGTAATGTAATGTCAAAAATACTAAAGGCTGTTTTTTATGAATTTCTGTGCACCACAAAATTTATTTTGAGAATGCAATTTTCATGCAAAAATCAAGCATGCCTTTGATTACAAATAGTAATTTTACAAGGCAGTTGAATTAGAACGTTATTTTTAATCGAAATTTTAAACTTTGTGTTCACATTTGGGAGCATTGGCACGTAAAAGGTGAACATTAGCTTAATTTTAGATGTAATATACGTAGGTAAGTTGAAAAATAAGTTTCCCCTGTCGACTGTGGTCAGAGTTGTGTATGAAAGTCAAAAAAAAGAATGAGACATTAAAGATATGACATACCTTTATTTTATTATTCTCGTACGAGTACGTTGAGACATTTGTCATATCGCTTGATAAGCTTCAAAAAGTCCTCCAAGAAAAATTCACGCTTTGCATGTGGAAGAAGCGTTGAACGGCTATGGGCAAAAGGCGACACAGCAGGAAAACGCATAAGTCACTGATACACCATTGGGTAGAGGTCGCTGCAAATCAAGCAGATGGCACTGTTGCAGTGCCTGCGCAAAGCGGAGACCAGCCTCTCATTTGAGCCCCGGTAGGTATGGAGAGAAGGTGCGTTTTGAATTCGTGGTCAAAGGAGGAAGTGAGAGCGGTTATCCGCTATGAATGGGCACGAGGAGTATCAGGAACAGAAATTCATAACCACCTCGTGGAAGTCTATGGGCCAGGTGTGATGTCGAAGCGAATGGTGCGGAGATGGTGTCGCACATTCAGTGATGGACGTCAGCAAGTGGAGGACATACCAAGAGCTGGACGAACGCGCACGGCCAATATAGATGCAAATGTCAGGAATTTGGATGGCATGATTAGAGCGAACCGGCATATCACCATCGATGAAGTAGTGGAAGAACTTGGAATCGCACATGAGCGAGCTCAAAACATCATCCACGACATTCTTTGATACAGAAAAGTGTCAGCACGATGGGTGCCCCGACAATTGACCTCGACGCACAAATAACATCTGTTTCCGGCTTTGAAGAAAAATCTCGGGGGAAGGCACTTTGGAAGCAATACTGAAGTGAAACAAGCCGTTCAACGCTTCTTCCCTATACAAAGCCCTGATTTTTTCCTGGAGGGCTTTTTGAAGCTTATCAAGTGATATGACAAATGTCTCAATGTACTTGGTACCTATATGGAAAAATAAAGGTATGTCATATCTTTAATGTCTCATTCTATTTTTTGACTTTCATACTTTCATACACAACTCTGACCACAGTCCTCGACAGGGGAAACTTATTTTTCAACTTACCCTCGTAAAAATTTTCTTTATATGATGTTAATGTTTTTTCTTTCTATTTTTAAGCATTCAGGTGATATTCAAGAAGCTGTGCATTGTCTAGATGAAGCACAAGCTCTTGACACAGCTGATCGATATATAAATTCTAAATGTGCCAAATATATGCTCAGAGCCAACATGGTTAAAGAAGCTGAAGAAATGTGCTCTAAATTTACTAGGGTATGTTTGCATTCTTTTAAAAGCCGAATGTATATGTATAAAACTTTTGGCTTTGTTTTAAGTCTAATCTTTAAATACATCCCATAGTTGCTTAATGTAGTTTCGTGGCAATAACTTGAGTTGCTAAAAATGAAATTTTGAAGTTTCTGTGAATTTTTATTTAGGCACTCAAAAATTAATTAGATTTTTTTTTTATAACAAGAATATATTTTGCTTTGCAAGTATTATCATTAAATGAAATGTATGTTTTGAAAGCAAGCCATTTTCTAGTAATTGGTTTTTTTTCCCAGAGCAACAATTGAAAAAAGAGGACAATGACTGAATTCTTGCTTGCTTTCAAAATACTGTCACAGTACATGTAATCATTACAAATAATTCATTGAAAAATTTCATGCTTTTATTTTTTCTGAATTTCTTGGCATAATTTACTATATATTAATAAACTAATGAGTTTCATATAGATTAAATAGTTTTATTAATTGATTAATTTTTATTGAAGGAAGGTGTATCTTCAATGGAAAATCTCAATGAGATGCAGTGTATGTGGTTTCAAACTGAATGTGCATTATCATATCAAAGGCTTGGAAAGTGGGGTGAAGCATTAAAAAAATGCCACGAAGTTGATAGGGTAAGTTTATTAAAAAAAAACTTTTTGAGGACTTGTTGATAGCTAAACATTGGTACCCTTTGTAATGAAGGGAAAGAAAAGAATTAAGAACTGACTTGTTTATAAATTGGTGGAAAATACAGATTAAAATTTAAGTTATTTAGATTTAGTTATAGAGAGATTTCAGTAGACATGAAAAGACTCAGAGAAACTGAAGTTTCACTCTTTTATACCTTTATTTCTGTCTTTTATACCCTTATTCTGTCTTATTTCTGTTGTATTGTGATCTGAAAATCACAAAGTCAGTTTTGCTTTCATCAAAGTCCTCCAGGAAACTTCCTCGGGTGTTGAATTTAATTCCTTCAGGAATTTGGATATCCATAAAGATTTCTCTGCGTTAGTCAGTGACTTAAATTCTTGTATGTATTTCCTATGATTCCTATATGAGAGATCAACTCATATTTTGAATCCATTTTTCATCTGTAGGTGGTACCGCTTACATTGTTTCTATTATTTTTCTTTTCCTCTTCATTTAAAGGTAATCACTGTTTAGTTTCTAGTAAATTCTTGCAGACTTCTCTTTTTGTTTGTGGTACTTGCCTTTCATTTAGTTGCAGCAAGATAATGTTAAGATGTACAGTTGCTGAAAACATTTTTCCTGAAATGAAAACTAATGCTTAACATAGACATTAATCAGTCACTCACTATCTTAACTGAAACACTCACATATATTTGTTAAAAAGACCAACAAAAAATGTCTTATTTCAGTATCATCCTAAAATGTTTCATATATCGTAAAGTCAAGAAATGAATCTGTAATTCTTAATATAAGAAAAACTTTCTTTAGATAGTTGCAGGGTTATTTTTCTAAGGGTTATTTTTATTTTGGAACAAGCCTTTCCTTTACCTTCTAGTTTCTCACCTAGATTTCCCTGCCAGAATGTGTTTTGAGGATTATGATGTATGCGAATAAGGTAGAAACAAGTATTTAAGCTGAAATTTGGCCTACTTCAGTAGGAGAATGTGTTCTGCCTTTCAGCCATACTGTTGCTATTAGTCCAAACTTTCTGTTCCAGCTAGCCTATGCCAGGCATCCTTAACTAAGGGCCAACTCTGCAAGTTTGATTCTGTGCAACTTCAGCTGTATAATTTTATTAAGCATTAGATTAGCATATTATTTTCTATTTAAGCCCAAGTGGAAGCTTCTTTTATGCCCTAGATTTGAATCTGCCTTCTTATATGCCCAAGATTTGAATCCATAAATGTATTTTGAGTTGGAATAAAAGAATAATTTAATCCTTCTTCGGAACTGTTAGGTACTCTCAAGAACTCAGCAAATAGTTGTACATAGTTTTTCAGTATTCTTGCTTGCAGGGAACTCTATTTTAGCTAGCATATTGCAAAGTAATTAGTCATTTATATCTCAGCATGTTGTAATTTATGGTACAGGCTTGATTATGAGACAGTCCTCCTTAATTATTCATCATATTCCTGATCTGTTTGTAACAATTTTAATTTAATTTTATTTATTTATTTGTTGTTGGTAATGTATAGCAAATTAATGTTGAAATGGCACTTAGGCAGCTCATTTATATTTTTGAGGTTCTTGAAATCAGTCATAAAATACGTTGTTCAGTACATATATGTGTGTAATTAAGTGAAGTGATTAACATTAAATTTAGATGTTTTGGCAACTTTGGATTAAAATGTCTGAAAAGCATAGAATAAAAACATTAAATTTGGAAAAATTGTGAATGTTATTGAAGATGCTGGTAATTAAGTAAATGGAATATTGGTAAGTCTATATTGCTTTGAAAGATTTTGCCAGTTAGTTACTGATTTTGCCACAGAATTTGCAATTAGTGACATATTTCTTTGAGAAAAAATACCTAGTATTGAGTTAATTAATGAATGCTTTTTTTTTTTTTTTGGATTATTTTTCTTAGATGAGTATTACTTTAGAATTATCTTGTGTGACTTGAAATCTTGAAAAATTTGAAATGTTTGACTTTAAAATGCAACTGTGAACATAGGAAGGAAGCATAAATGCGTTAAGGAAAAACTGCAATGTACTTGCATGCCATCCCATAGGCTGTGAAACTGTTACCAAGTTGGGTGATTTAATGCCAGTTATGGATGAACATTACATAACGTGCACATATAGACACTCGTAAAATCTGCTTTTTTTTTGTTTGAAGTAACTCCAATGAATTCTCGCTAAGGAATCTTTTGTTTTTATCAACAAGGATGTAAATTAACTGTTCTTGCCATATTTTCTTATTTTGCATTTTTGAGGGGAAGAGCTTTGTAGACAATCAAATTGTTATATATTGGCAAAAATATTTACTGTAATTATTTTTTCGTACTTTTAAATATGTGGCAAAATGTTCCACTGTTGCTTAAAGTACATAAAATTATTCTTGTGAAATGTGTGAATTGATAAATTAAAATATAAGTAATTATATTTTACCTTTTTTCTATATTCATATGTTCAGCACTCTAAAGTATTTTACAAGTTTCATCTTTCTGTATAAAAATAAATTTTCAAATAAGAAAATTTTGTGCATGAATTTATGCGATACCTAATTAAAAAATTTGTGGTTTTTCATAATCTTGGTAATTCTTAATTTGCAGCAATTTCAGATATTTGTGTATTACAAATACCTTATTGACAGCTTTTAATTTTATCTGTTCTCTGTGTAGCATTTTTCTGAAATTATCGAAGATCAATTTGACTTCCACACTTACTGCATGCGGAAAATGACTCTCAGGGCATATGTAGGACTTCTGCGACTTGAAGATGTACTACAGTCTCATCCATTTTATTTCAAAGCTGCCAAAGTTGCAATTGAGGTACATCACCTATTTCTTTATTATAATTTTCACACATTTATTTTCATGGATATTCGCCAAGAGATGATGACTGAATTAGAAAAATTATGTAATCTTCAATGCTTGTATGTTTCAAATATTTTTAGTGTCATTTCTTTAATTAAAATATGCTTCTGTTAATCAAATTTGCAACACCATGGAGGAATCATTGGAACTGAATGAAATTTATTCCACACATGACCTATGCAAAAAATTTATTAAATTTATAAAACAATACAAGAATATTAAATGCCAGAAATAGGTATTCTGTAAAGTTACCTTGCATTGCAGTAATAATTGGTAATTGTCACTGCTTTGACTCAGACAGGTTTTTTAAGTGTGTAAATGGTAATTGACATGCTAATAAGTCATAAAAACATTTCTAACATTATTTGGAACAGACATTATCCTGTTGAAATATACATCTGAGAATGCATTGAATAAGAACAGATTCCACACTGTTCATCCTCCTTGATTAGTAGCTGCTGGAAACAATTCTTAGCAGATAAGATTTTCCATTACACCCAATGGCACACCAGACCACAAAGCTTTGTTAATTCTTGCTGAATAATATATGTCTGCCAAATATGTATAGCATCTAACATATGCTAAACTTCCACATTGAAGTGGAATTTATTGGAAAAGGCAATCTATCGTGCTAGTGCCTGTATTATAGTTGCAGGCATTGATGGTTTTACATCTCGAGAATCATATGCAAAGGGATGCATGCAGTCAATCTGTTGTGCAACAGATGCTGGCAAACCATTGAAGTTAATCTTGATATACTAGTAGCAGTGCTCCAGTGTTGCACTAACTGTTGAGGTGAAGCTGCAGGGTCTGTCAGTATCATGACAGTTGAGGTATTTGTCATCCTTTGCTTGTGTAACGTTTTATAGTCCACTGCCACTTCTCTCGAGCTTCCTGCTTATGCTCAAAAATCACTTACGAGACATTATGCCCCATACAAGCTGTTTTATTATGATAAGAAAATCCTTCTTCTTGCTGTCTGATCATTTGCTCCTTTCAGGTAGCATGACTTGTTTATTGGGCACTTATTAGTGAGACATAATAACTCTTCATCGCTTACTGATTTCAGATAACAAACATTTAAGATCCTTCTGCAGCTCTTTATTTATATGGCTAACATGACAACAGAGGAAGTTGCTCAGCCCACATGTGTGCTGTCACTCAGAAATTCTAATCATTCATCTATGACATCCTGCTTTGCATTTCCTGTTAATTTCAGTTTATTCATATGATTCACGATGTTGCAATTTTCATAAACAGCTGTGTAGTTACTGTTTCAAATAATAAAATGATTTCTTAAGTTAATGAAGCAAATTTAACTTCTAGAAGCTTTATGTATAACACTATATATAGCTTTGTATTATTTCTCATACACATGCAATGTAAAATTTAAATGTTTTAGATGAGTAACATATTTAAAAATAGGAAAAAGCTGAAATAAAGATTTATTGAAATCTCATGCTCTTCAGTTAGAATGGAAAAGCTATAATAAATTTAAAATATCGTGAATAATAAAATTCTGTATTTTTTCAGATATGATTAAAATAAATTAATAAATTACTTGCAAAATTAATGTTACATTAAAAAAAGTATGATATCTGCTTGTTAAATTTATTTTATGTGAAAGTACAGAGTTAAGACTGCGGTATCATTTGCTCCAAATTGTGCATGGGAATGTATACTATATCCAATTGCTACAAAAAGTGAAATTGTCTGTTTTGGACTACTGAGATGAAGCAGTATCTGAAAACTTTGCATGTGTTTTGAATTAGATTAGTAGGTAATTTTTATTGCTTTTTCTTTAATTATATGCTAAAATGAAAAAAACATAATACTAAAATTTTATCAGAATTACAAAATGGGCAAGATTAGCTGACAGAATGTACTGGAATATTTATTTTATTAACTTGGAATCTTAATAATTTATGTTAAATTGAAAATTTGCAAAGGGGGATATCACTAAAAATTATTCACTGTTTCATTTTGGTACCCAGTAAGTGTCTGTGATGGAGTCAGATCTAATAAAGGCTTCCACTGGAACAGTTTATAAATGCACTGGCCAACATTCTGTGGTATTTTAACTGCCTAACTCCTGGTTCTTTATGGATGTAGATGCACCTAATGTACATTCATGCGTTGTGGCAATGTTGCCAAAGTCAAATTGGTAGTTATTATATATATATATATATATATATATATATATATATATACTGCTGTACATATTTTTTAAAAAACTTTTCAATATGTTTATTATTGCCCTGTTATTTCTCATGCACATGTAGCCAAAGAAATAATAATAATATCTTACTGCAATTTTATTTCCATATAAAAAATAATGTGGACATATGTAATTTATGTTTCATTGGTATCTTTTGTAATATTTTTTAAATCTGAATACTGATTTAGTTAAAATATGTTTATTATGTGAGTAAGGCTGCAGTTTTAATTAATTTTGGTAGGTTTATTTGAGGTTGTACGATAAGCCTCTAACAGAAAATGAAATATCTGAAGAAATAACTACAGGTGAGTTGTTTCTTATAAACTTCTGAATTATAATATTGTGATTCAGTATGTATACAAAGTACTCTTTTCTAAGGAATTGTTTGGAGTCTGTGAATTAATGAATCCATTTTACATTAATTCCTATGGAAAAAATTGTTTTCGTTTACAGACATTTCAGATAATGAACTATCTTCAGGAATGAAGTAAGCTCATGAACCAAGGTTTCACTGTACTAAAATACGTACTCCCCTCCTTTTTTTTTTTTTTAAAGGGAGTAGTTGTCAGTCTTATGGACTTGACTAAATTAACATTAATGTATTTTTTCAATGTTTTCTGATTATCTGTACCACTCATGAAAAAACTGAATTTTGAACTTTGGAGAGCATTTCGAAACTCATGACCAGCTTTGGAGAGAAATAATTGTTAGAGTAGCCATACTTCTATTTCAATGATGCACCGAGTGCTTCCTTCCTTTTCCGTAGAAGACATGTACCCTTTTCAATTTTCTGTGCTGCTGTTCTCCTCATGTACATAGCGATACATTTTGGTTAAAAAGCATTAGAGAATGCCACAAACTTAGCATCGTGCCTAACCTCAGCATTGCGCTCTGTCTACAGTCCTGATTGCCCAAGAATAGTTAAAAGTTTCAACGTACACTACAACATAATGAAAGTAAAAGAAAGCAAACTCTGTAGCGACGTCATTCTTAATGACAAGAACAATGCAAAACAGACACAGTCAAATGACTTAACTGTAATTGTGAGACAAATGTCTGATGAAGAGTTTTTCACATTTTCCTGTAAATAAAAAATTAGGAAGTTGTCTTTTTCCCTCATTGTGTGAAGTAGAAGAAAGTTTCTGGTTTTGAATTTGCAGAAAAGATGATGTTCATCGCAAAATAAGACTTATTTGTTTGAAAATGTGAATTTGAAATCAAACAAAAGACATATATATTAGTCATGTTGTAATATGTCTTTGCATGATTTTGTGGCAGTTAATTGCTCAGTTCTAAAAGGTTGGTTGTGGTGGTGGGGGGGGGTTAAATAATAAGTGACTTTAGAGCATCAAATTTAATTTTCTAAATGAACCTATAGTGCATTGGACATGTTTTACTGAGGTGTCTAGGAATGTTAAGAATGAGAGTGTCAGATTATGTGGAATTTATGAGCAGATTTTCCATGATTTTTTCAAAATTGGGTTACCTCAGCAGCCATCTGCAAAAGCACCTGAGGAGATGACCAAAAAGTTTCAAAAGTACTCCAGATGCTGCTGGAGAGGATACGGTGGTGTGATATTTGACTCATATGAGTGAAGAAAAAAAGGAGAGGTGGTTGGCCTACTTAAGCGGAACCAGGAAAAAATTGCTGCACCAGCCAAATTTAAATATTTACCATCTTATATTCTTTTACATTTAATTTCACTGCATATCATTTGAGAGATTTTAATATTAATGTCCAGTCACAAAGGTCTAGCTTTGAAACTGTCTAGCACCAGTTTCAAAGCTAGACAAAGTTTTGCTTAGGTTTAAGCATTTATTTGCAATGTAGCTTTTGTGTACTTTTATGTATTTTTATAGGAATAGTTTTTGCCCATATAATTATTTTAGAATATTTAGATATGTATTAGCTTTCTCCATAAAAACCACAGTATGCTTTAATTTTGTTTTTTTAACTTCTGATTTTTACTTAATCAAGGTTGTTAAGTATTCAAAAAAAAAAAAAAAAAAATCTCTTGAGGCAATTTTTCTGTCAGCTTTTAAACTGGAAAGTTCTAGCAAGATGTGAAGGCAAAATTTAGACTTGCAGTGGATGGTTTAAATTCTATGATAAAATGAAAAATGTGTTCATGATGGTATGCAACATCATGAATCAGATATGTTTTACAAGAAGGTTATGATTTTTTTAAATGGCAAATACACAGATATTTGAATTTTGTACTTTTGACCTTAGAATGCTTTTTCTTAATATTCTGTACTGTTAAAGTTATAGAAAAATTGCAATTAAACTTCTGGCTCCCAAGGTACCATATATCATTTCATAACGTTTTGTGAGGTTGTTCTGAATTTTGATATTACTAAAGAAATAAAATTAGTAGTTTTTTCCTGTACGTTTTAAATACATATAGTTTTTTAGAATAACAAAAAATCTGTAGTAAATCTGAAAATTCAAAAATGGAGAGAAACTTATTGAAGAAGAAATTAGTTTTATGAAGAGAAAGCTTACTACTAATTTGCTCATTTACTAATTTGTTAATTGCTGATACAATTAACAAATTAGTAAATGAAGCATAGAGTAGTAGAAATATTAATTTGTTTATTATAGTAAAGGACTTGAGGAAATGTGTGTAAATTAGGTAAAAATGGAGCAACATTTCCAATAAAGAAGAAACACTTATGTATGTTTATGTATACATAAGTGTTTCTTCCAAAAGTACAAGTCCGAAGGAGCAATGTTGGGTGTGTGGCAAAAGATCCCATTCAAGTCTGTACAGAGTCCAGCTGGTGAATGGAGACACATGTGGTCTTGCATTTGATGGAACATTACCATTTTGCACCGGAACTCATTTCGACGGTTTATCTTAATAGCAGTGTCAATACGCACTAGCATCTTGCTGTACACCGTACTGTGGAGGGTTTTACCATTTCCCAAATAATCTTTGTAGATAATACTGCTGCAATCCCACCAGATACAAAGTCAGTATATACAATCATATGATCTTTTTATAAGACAAATTGTGCTATGTTGAACCATCTGAAAGTTCCTGTGATACTGAGATTGAAGAAGCTGATGTACAGCTGAGGCAGTGTGCTCCAGTACTGCAAGAAAATTCACCCACCTCACAATTTATGTGTGCATCTCATAGTGCTGATTGTGCAGACAAGGACTTGCTTCTAAACCTGGATACTTGTGTTTGTGAAGTATTGGGTTCCGTTCATGACTCTGATGCAGAATTTGGAGCTGATTACCAGGAAATGAAGGAAAATAAGCATGTACCATCTGATAAAAATACCGAGGTGAACTGTATGCATGCTGCGAATGACTACAGAGTAATGAACAAACTGTTTCACATCTTCCACTGGATGAAAAGTTTGAAAGGACTGAATCTTCAGACTGTAATATGCAAAACAGAAATGCGTCTGAGAACTGCAGTGGAAAAGTATTTGACCCGGGTATAAATTAATGAAAAGACTGAGATTGAAATACATTCTGAACTTTAATTTTGTAGAAATTTAAAATTGTGATGTGTTTAATTTTGTGTATGTAACTTGTACATAGTGTAAATATCTGTTTCTTTGTTTATGTTATCTGTATGTTTTAAAACATTTTGATTGTACCGAATTTGGCTTCTGACCAAGGGTTATACTGCCCGAAACGTGCAGTCCTTGTGAAGGGGCAGTGTTACGAAATGTAAAGGTACGGTGGGGTGGCTTCCCTGCAGGGCGGTTTTGGGGTTGCATTGGAGTGGTGGGGGGCCTTCTGGGACGGGTTTGGCTCGGAGTGTTCTCGAACACTGGCCGGGGGCTGTGTGGGCCCTGCTGGTGCGTGGAGGGTTAGTTAGTATTAAACTGGTGTCTCCTCTAGTGGGTCAATCGAGTTGATAGCCGGGCAGCGAGTGCCGAGTGGGTCGTTGAGTGCACCGAAAGAGTCTCGTAGTGTATCGCAGTTAGTGCATGTTTGAGAGAGCGTGTTGAGCTCCAGGAATGACTGAACCGAAGAGTCTGCAGCTGTGCTCTGCGTGTCGTCGAGTGCATCGCAAGTTGTAGCTTGGAGAATCTCAAGAGTATGTAGAGTTCAGAGAACGACTGAGCAGAGTCAGGAACTGTACTCTGGTGCTTTGCAGTAAAGCTGTTTCCACCATTATAGCCTGATAGTGTCGCTGATTGTGTTAGCATGTTTATAGTATTTCTTCGATGACTGTTAAACGTGATTTTGGAGCTGTCCTGATTAATACCTGCCAATAAAGTGTGTTTTGATACTTCATCAAGAAGTGTTGTCGTTATTCACTCCAAATCCACATGAACACCGTATGAGCATGAAGGAAGAAAATAACGTAACAACTGCTGTCAGAAAAGAAAAACGCAACAATATATATAGTTTTGTACCTCCATTTTTTATTTTAATCGGTCGCACCAAAAGTGTATATATATATTTATATATTTTTGGTGAGAGTGGGTATATAAATATATTTACTCGGCTCAATCAGCTCTCTCCTTTTTTTTTTTTTTTTTTTTTTTTTTTTTTTTTTTTCTTTAAAAATGATTGAATTATGTTGCTCTTATCTGGTTAAGGTTTTTTGTGCCTTTAGTTAACATGCATGTAATAGTTGTAGATTTATCAACTATTTAAAAGTTGTTTAAGTGCATCTAAGCCTAATTTTTTAGCAGCCATATTTGTTTATTTGTTTACATTTGAAGCTTAGAGAATAGTGGATTTGTTGCCGATCTAGAGAAACTATACTTTGCAAAAACAAAGATAACGTCTTCTTTTATTATTGCGAATAAAATCGTGATTAATCAATTCTGGTTATTAAATTATCCCATATATCGACTCATTATAGCATTCACAACAAATTTTTGCCAAGTGAGACCAAAAGTAAACTTTCAGTTTTTTGCACCGAAAAATCTGCCTTCTTGCCCGCTGGCTGAATTGCTTGTTTTTGCATAGAAACTTTAATTTTAATTATAAAAGTTGTTCTTTAAATTGTTTTAACTGTATTTATGTTTTATATTTTTGTATATTTTTCGATTTTTAATAAAACTATATTGAGATTTTATGTATTTTTGCTTTGTTGCAAAGTGAAAACTGAATTAATTGAATGAAAAATATATCAGTAATGATGAATTTGAAGAAAAAAATTTAATAAAATGCAGGTAAAAATGCACATAATTCAGGGCTATGGAGTCGGAATCAGGAGTCAGGCAGATTTTGGGGTAAAAGGAGCTGCAGTAGCTAAAAACAGGTTGACTTTGACTCCGACTCCAGTTTTTGTTGGACAGTTTGAATTTGAAATGAAATTAAAAT